CGGAGATAAAATTATCTCAAGCAACTTGAGAAATGATAAGCCCTATATATAAATATATATATGATTTTATAATTTAATTATAACTACTTTTATATGTTTTATTTAATACATACAGAAATCTTAATTTTATCACGTATATATGTGTATACATATATCGTATCATAAATTTTATCTCCTTCATTTATTTATTTACTTTTATTAGTTGAAGTCATACGATGACGTTAATTATTTATTTACTTTTTTTTTTTGGAAATACATCAGAAAATAAAAACAAAACTCCAAATTAACCAGGTCTGGGAACTGCTATTCCCCTCTGATCAGCATGGATCAGGCTATTACATCCCAAAGGAGCAATAAGAAAAATTTGCATATCCGTGGCATGAGCAATTCTCTGTTTTGCAAGCCAATCATCTACTTGATTTTCTTCTCTCAGAACATGCTAAACTCTAACCACCCAAGGCCAACTAAGGAGCTCCCTAATCTTCTGGACTAAATGAAATAACGGATGCCCTTCCTCACAATTCTGAAATAGTTGCAAAGCATATGTAGAGTCTCCTTCAACAGATGCTTTGTGCAAATAAGGGCCTTTTGGTGAGACGTATAAGGCATGATAGTATAAGCTTATACTATACGTTATGACATTTTCAGTTGTTTGGTGTGACCATCGTATAGTATAAGCTTATACAGCACAATTCTTTAATACATCAAAACGACGTATAACTTAATCCGGCCTAAGAGTGAGAGATAAGGCCTGATAAGAAATTGATGTATTAACATCGTTTACCAATGTAATTCTCAAAAATTAATGTATTATTTTAATATTAATCTATTAAAATAAAAATTATTTTTTCAATATATTAATTTTTAAAATATTGAATATTGTTTTTACAAAAATTAATTTATATTTTGGACACACTGATCAATAAATTTTTATAAAAATTAATATCATATGACATTTTTTGAAGAATTATATAAATTCTTTATTAAAAGATATTTTTAGTAAAAATATTTATTTTTATCATATATAGTATTATACAGTGCATTATCAAATACTAGATGATATTATCTTATACAATATATTATTTTATATAATACCGTGCCAAACGCTGGATAGTATTAAAATTCAATCAGATCTTATACAATCAGACCTTATACTATCAGGCCTTATCCTATACTATGCACCAAACATGCCCTAATTTTTTATTTCATTTAAAAGAGTAACTATACAAAACGGAGAAATTCTTCCTCATTTTGGATGAAAATTTTTCCTTTATGAAGAAGATGATAACAGTTAGTGTAGGTCTAGATAAACTTATGAGTTATCATCCTAGTAAGAGAAAAGTTCTTCCTTCCACTAAAAGAATGTAAAAGCTTTCAAAAAGTAATTGATATGTATAATATAATTATCAAATAGTTGGAAGTTCATTCAAAATGGTAATATAAGATAACTCATACCAGATAATCCAAATTCTTTCGAAATTAATGGATACTTTACAACATCAGATCTAAATATATATGGATATGATTGGCCAGGGTTAACTCGAGTGACAATATAAATCAAAATATGAATAGATTATAAAAAACAAAATTAAACAATTGTCCCACGCTTAATTTAAAATTAATTTTACATCTATATATACTAAAAAAAAGAAACCCGACTCATTCAAGAATTCCAAAAAATATATATATATATATATATATATATATATATATATATATATATATATAATGGACGTAACTGGAGTAACGTCGTAATCTTAGAAAAACCTAAAATGCCAAGCAAATTGTTATCAAAAAAAAAAAAAAAAATGCCAAGCAAATTAACCTTATCATCTTCTCTCTCTCTCTCTCTCTCTCTTGAATTTAATAAAAGCACATCAAACCAAAGGCGGGCTCTGCATTATGCAGCCATCATCACCTTGATATGTGGTTCCGTCCTCCACAGCAGAAGTATGAAAAGGTGAAGCAGAAGAAGTCCTAGAAGAACGAGAAAACCATATTAACTTTTGCCATTCCAAATCAACCACACGCTGTTAATTCTTTCCAACGGTACTCGAGGCCTTATCTTCCTCATGCTTATTGTCAACGTTCATCGTGATACTGATGAAGGAGCAGAAGGTACTATTCTTTTTTCTTTTCTGTTTTTCTCTTTTACCGTCAATTTTGAAATTAAGCAGCACAGTACAAGTGCCATAAAATATTGGCCACAAAACTTTATTTCACCAATGATTACTGAAGCTAACTAACTATGATTTGATCTGTACGTAACTGATTTAATCTTAACCATCATCACCTTGACGAATGCATTGATAATATATCTGATATCATTGTAAATTGTGACCGAGGGTGCATGCGGTGTAGCTGATCATGAATATATATATATATATATATATATATATATATATATATATATATATATATGGAGAAGCTCGCTTCCTTAGTGAAGAATGGGAACGGTGAGATATCGCAGCAACACTCATTGTTTCAATTCGGCGGTGTGCTATCTTTTGATCAACTCATATGAGGGTATGCCTCAAGGCATTAATTTTAGCCCGTGTCAAAAAACTCATTCAAATAATCAATTGGCTCTTCCATCAAAGTTTAGCTACACTCATTGACACCTTAGCTTCCCATATTTTTAAATATTTGGATCATCATATGTCAATCCACCATTAGCTCTCTTCCATCCATGGATTAAGTGAGCTTAGACATCATAATTAAACTCAAAATCTTAAGATATCAGGTGCACGAGTCCTTCTACTTATATGATGCTCACTTAGTCTATTTTTTAATCAGTGTGAGACTTCATCTCACCCACATTTGAATTCCTCTACAGTAGTGGTGCAACCCCCTCGGCTTATCTTTTTTGTTGACATTTTCACTGTCTACACAATTTTCGATTATTGGAAATTAACCACAATTAAACGTATTTTTTCATATATAAAACATATGACAAATTAATTCCAAGGCTAGTCAAAAGGGAACATCACAAATGTGTTATTCATTCATGATCTCCATTTGTGAAACTTGCTAGCTCCCGGAATTATCAACTTACTTCTTATGCTTTTCATTTTGTTGAAAAATTATCTCTTTTTTTTTTTTTTTGAGTATTATCAATTGGTTCATGAATACTCACTATAATTTAATTTAAGCCGGGTAGGATTATATGAGCCGTAAAACTCTTCCTAATAAGTTTTAACACAAATATATTTTCCAGAGACTCAAACTCGAAATTACTAACTTAAAACAATTCCCTACTGATTGATCTGTATGCTCGGTGGTCTGAAAAACTATCTCTAGAACCTTGTGGTGCAGGCTTTGAATTTCTTTCACTCTTTTGTTAGTTAGAATATGATCTAAGTTTAGCGGAGTTGGGATTAAATCCATATACCACCTTGAATGAACTTTTACTCGTAGTTTTGCTTTGAGATGGAGTGTAGGCAAATTCTGCTTGTGGCCGTTTAAGATCTCCTTGTCTAATTTTCCCTTCACTAGTGACCTTTATAAATTACACAAGCTTCGATTAATTACAACTTCAGTTTTTGCCCATCAGTTTGGGAGTGAGACGAGGCACTGAATTTAATTAAGGATAGCTATAAGCTTCTTGACTTCTTCGATAGAGTTCTCACCAAAGAAGACTCATAAGTTTGGTATCAAGATTGGATGTGATGGTCTTTGGAATGCCATGAGATTTGACAATCTCTTCAAAACAAAGATCAGCCACGTGAGATGCATCCAAAGTCTTAAGACAAAGAACAAAATGCGCAATTTTAGAGATCCACTATGATCATAATTGAATTTTTTAAAATTCAAAAGAAATTTAAAATTTAATTATGAAATGAGGAAAAAATTTAAACAATGATAGAAAAGTACTTGTTTTCTTCTTCTTTCACTTCTTTACTTTCTCACACATTTCCTTTCCCTATATGAATATTGGTTTTGCTGATTGAATAAGTTTCCATCAAAAGCCATTCCTCCCGGAACATTAATTGGAAAGGCAAATCAAAGGACCAATATGTTTCGGACCGCATCCTTTTTGTACTATTTCCAATATTTGATCTGAGCTTTCTCTGCAGTGCAGGGCACTGCATCTATTCCACTATAGCAATTCCGGGGTTATATCTAGTCGCAGAATAGCCATCCACGTAACATTTAATCTACTGCTGCTGTGGATAGATCGACCCACTTGATTGATTCCTGCAATATTATCCGTACGTTCCCTAAACAACTAGCTTATTCGATCAACCACATAGACCAGCAAGTGAAACTAAAGATTAGTTTCCAATCTAACATGTCGTCACTTTTTGAGATTGAAACACTTATAATTTTCCATATTTCTTCTGTTTGTCATCTTTGGAAATAAAATAAGTATTTCCGAATTTTTACCTAACCTAACAAATTAAGCGTTTGATAAATGGGTAAAAAATCATTGGGGCAAGTGGCAGAAGTTACATTAACTTTTGCCATATCTTTAGGTGCTGAATCCCTTTCTTGCATTGGTAGGCCACACCTCTTAAATAAACACCACCCAACTTAAGGGCCCGCTAATTGCATCTTATTTGTTATTGCATTGATTGGTTTCACCTGCCCATTCTCATTGAATTCTGATCAAGTTATCTTTGAAAAGTTCCAATTACAATGGTACAAAATTTTAGTTTAATAAAGTACAAATTTAGTTGAGGTCGCTCGAACTCATCACAAAAAGCTATTAGTGCAGTTGTGGTTGTAACAAAGGAGAAGAAATTTACTCAAGTCTACGATATAACAAGAAAATTCAACATTAGAAAACACTTGAAGAAAGTTTTGTCAAGTCTACAACACAACAAATAAAAGGTCTACGCAAAAATTAAGACAGAAGGTGAAATTCGAAGTTATTTAAAGTTATATATATATATATATAAAGGTCTGATGGAACTACTCTCGTCGTCATTAGGGAAAGTCAATGCCCGAACCTACGATCCTGACATAAGTTTCTGGCTTCTTCAGTGCCTAACAAGTTCTAACATTGAAAGGATACTCTAAGGTGCGTTCATTGACTTGTTCTCCTTGATCTTAACACTTAAGTATGCTCCACCTTCCCAGCTTGTCATCTTTCTCTGCCTTTCTTCTAACTGCAACACAGAAAAATAATACATAAATTAATTTCAGCATAAAACATATGTCAAACTTGAAGCGAATGAACAGCACTCTTAAACTGCCAATGTAAATTAATTAATTTCATTAGGTATATAAAGTGATCAATTAACTTACTATTGGAGGACTCTGCAATTAGCTTCTGTTCTGTCACCCATCACTCACTGCAGCTTTGATTTTTTCTATTGTGCACTTAATGAGACTGTTAACTGTAGTGACAGAACCAATGGAGAGTTTTGCCGTTGGAACTGAATCCACCAATATCTGAAAAGCAACAGTCAGAAGACACCCTCCGGTTCCAACCTCAACTATGGGCCCTCCATTCAGCCCAGGCCCATCTGGAAGAATGGCAAAACCCGATGGAAGCAGGGCCACGTAATCTGGATCACCCCCATTCAACACTACGTTCATAGCAATTATGTCAACAGGAGCATAAACCACGTATGAGCCTGTTGAATCAGTGCAACTCTCTTGAAGTATAAGCATATTGCTTTGGCTGGAATTTGTACTCTACAATTGACATTCACCAAAAGGTATGTTAGGTTATTTTATTAATTAATGAGATGCGTACAATCTATGATGCTAAACCAATTGACATACACCTTTGTAGCATGCTTAATCAAAAACTTACATTGACACGAAGTAAAGAGACACAGTTACCAGGATCACGACCATTTGCTATGTGTGCCATTTCTTGAACTTGACCCCCATTGGAGAGAATATCCCACTGTTAATTCATCAAAATAGTTTGTTAGTTTGAAGGATGAACAATAGCTACCAAGCTTCCATCCAATGCCAAAAATCAAGCATTATTATGAGCAAGCAATTATTGTTGGGTCATTCCATTTGCAAAGAATTAGTATATGGAAACTTAATATTATTAGATTTCTTGTCCAAGAAACATGAGGTGAAAATTTATCAAAGCCAGAATTGCTAATAATAACAATAATAATAATAAGGATAACCCTTCCTCTCTCTCTCTTAATGTAAAATACTCTCTACTATTTCTACGAAAGTTTTAGTGAAAATACTAGATTCCACATAGGTTTGTCAACGTAATCTTATTTATACATACCTGACTTCTTGAGTTTTCATTTCGAAGAAAATCAAAAACCCTCTTTGGAGGAACTGGAAGCCAGAAAGAAGTTGCAGCACTGAGAACTATACCGGGAGGTCTCCCCGGATCATCCAAACACTTTCTGGTCATAACCCTTACATCATCACAATTAGGTCGCGATAGTGCTGTCCAAGTATGTGCCGTAGAAGCACCAACACCATTACTAAAGCTTATTATCATTCTCTCTGCCAGCTTCAGCATACTTTTCCTTCCCTCAGCACTGGTTATCACTGTCGTATATATAGTTAGTTATGCAATTGAGTCTAAGGCTTTATATATATATATATATATATAACTTTTTTAACACGATCTTAAAAATGAATGGAACAAAATACTAAAAAATAAAAATAAAAATAAAAATGAAGAGAGAGATGTCATATACCACAACGGTCCCCCGGTGGTATGTTGGTGGCCATTGTACTAGCAAGACGTTCGCATTGTCTATCTAATGAAGCCACCCATCGTTTAGCTCCAAATGCAAGGCAAGAATTAACTAGAAGTTTATAATGATTATGCACCATGCTATCATCCACTTCTACATGTTCAACCCATGTAACCTGAAGAATAAAAATTAATTTGGTTTCAAAAATTATTTAATTTAATTAGTTTCTATTTTCTCGGCAACAATTAATGTGGATTTATATATATATATATATATCAATGTACAAGTTTAATTTGAAATGACACCTTTGAGTAACCATTTGGCAATTCTTGAATTAAACAACCAGAAGGGCGTCTTCGGCTTCTTAAGATTGTACTTGGTCGCAGATTATCCAAGGAAACATCAACCACCGCCCATGACCCATCTGGGTGCTGCTTACAGTATCTTACAAAATAGTTGTCACGAGTTGGAACAAGTGGCGAAGGGACCATGAACTCAGCTGACATCTGAAATAACATGTTTTAATTGTTAGATATGAAAATGCAATTTTCTCTTGTCTAAATTCAATTCTAACAAATTTGAGTACAAAAAAAGGAGAAAAAATTTGCGTACCACTTGCAAGGCTCCATTGTAGTTTCCTGCCACTCCAGTTGACAGAACTTCGAGTGTCATTGCTCTTGAAACAATACCGCAAAACACAGTTGCCCATTGATTCTGAAAATTAATTAATATATACATCAAAGTCACTCAACCATAGAGGTTAATTAATTAATTAATTAATATTATTGCGAGGTTAATATATATATGTTGGGAACAAATTAAAATATTACTCACCACATCCATAAGGATCTCAATGAGGTTAATATGATTCATGATAACCACCACGGATTCCCTTGAAGCTTCTGATTTATACCCAATGGGTTTTGGACCTATTCCCCTAGGGAAATTCATCAAGTATTGATCTTCATTTAGAATCTCACTACAGTGGTTGGCAGGGACCCATAAAGGGTCTCCAGCCAGAGCCAACCTTGTTAGTTCCTCCATTGCTGCAACAGCAAGCTCCACAATCATGGGTTTGTCAGAATCAGAAGGAACTGGGAGTGACCTAAGAGAGTCATTGCCTCCATACATTTCCCCTACCATGCCTGACTGTGCTCCATAGTTACCAACTCCTATATCAAGAGAGCGAGAAGCCATGTGATTATGTGATGACATGTTAGAGTAAGAAGACCCAGGTTTTCCGCCATATTTTGCTCCCATTCCTGACGTCAACCTTTCAATCTGAGGTATTAAAAAAATAAATAAATAAATAAATAAAGAGAGAGAGAAGTTAGTTCAACCAAGAAGAAAAGGAAAGACAAAAATTATTATAATTAAAAAAAAAAAGCGATCTTTTAAGGATACCTCTTCTCTTAATCGATTATTCTCAATCCTCAAGTGTTGCTCGTCAAATGACATCTCCCCAAGAGCGGCAGGGTTTCCACAGTTAGGGCATGTAGCGTTACTTAGTGCCTCTTTGAACCTATTGTTCTCAGCTCGAAGTTTTTCATTCTCATTCCTCAACATATTATTCTCATGGCGTTCTTGTTGTGTCTGTATACACATGACCAAATAAATGTTACATAATGGTGCAATTTATATTTTATTTAAGACAATTAAGCTATAAGTATAATTAAATATTTCTTTAATTATAAAAAAATGTTAACAATTATAAGTACATTAAAATCCAATGTAACTATTAATATTGTGGAACGTTCTAGAGGCCAGGCTTTGTCCTTTACCTTAACTTGGGTTCGCTTGTTTTGGAACCAAAACTTGATTTGCAAAGGCTCTAACCCGAGTTCAAGGCCTAGTGCTTTTCTTTGCTTGTCATCTGGGTGAGGGCACTCCTTGAAGAAACTGATAAGAGCAGAGTTCAAAAAATTAATGCCATGTAAGCAAACTAAACAAGGGAAGATATTAATTTTATTAAGATAAAAAGGGGGGTGCATTAGAACAGTGACACTTACGATTCCATCTCTTGTATTTGGTGCTGTGTGTGGCGATGATAGCGCTTCTTTTTGGGTGGTTTGTTCGGATCTTGGTCGTCACCGGAAGGAGGAGCTTCCATGATGTCGTTTCCGGGTGTAATCTCGAAATCATCACTCTCTGAGGAAGTCTTGTGAGATGATGACATATCAAGCAAGTGTTGTTGAGAATCAAACACGTTTGGGTTAAACATTGCAGCAAATCCTTGTCTTTCAGAAGCCACGGTCTAGCAATTCTACAATCTGCCAAAAAAGGAAGTCAAAAACACTCTACATACATGCATGTCTGGAACTGAAACAAATGTGCAGAAGCATAGGGGGAAAATGATTTTATTTACTTTTAACAATAAAAAATAGAAAAAATTTAAGAATGCCTACGTGGTTTACTCCATAATCATCTATGCCTATTTTTTTTTATCACATACTTTGAAAAAGGGTATATTTTTTTATCACATATATCCTTGTGATTTTTTATATTTTACAAATCACAAAGACATATGTGATAAAAAAATCACAAGAACATAGTTAGATTCTGAAAAAATTTGAACTTTTCTCTAAAAAATAAATAGTGGTTTAGCTGCCAAGAGGGCACTCATTTGAAAAGCTTTTAATTTATTTTACAAAATTGAAATAAAAAATATCCCTTTTATTAGTATCAATTGAATCCTTGATGACAACAGTTACAATTGATGGGTGTTCTCTCAAGCAAAAATTCATATGTAGGAAAAAGAAAAAAGTTCCATATAATGCTGTAGAACTAGCTAGATTCTCTCCCCATATCTATTAATAATTTTTTTTTGGTAGGCTATTAATATTTCTTTTATATATAGTATGAGAATGTTAAAGTTTCTTTCCATTCAAATTTCTGTTGTAGTCTTGCAAGCTTCAATCTGCGTAGAATAATGTACTTAATTTATTTTAATTTTGGAGAAAAAGAGTAAGAAATTAAAGAAAGGAAGAACACACCTGATTTTGATCAACCTTGATGATGCATTTCTTTTGCGGCCACCACTCAAACCCTAAACTGATCAAACCATCTTCTTCTTCCAGTAGTAAAAGTTTTGTACTCTCTTTCTCCACTTTATAACTCTTTGAGTCTTGACTTTTAGGCTTGGTTTTTAATTTGGCTCTGAAATTGAAGTGAGAGTGTCGCTTGCGGAGAGAGTTGGTTTCAAAATCCACTATATCATCACACAGGACAATGAGCAAATTAAGTTAATAAGGTTCTTATAAGGCTGCAAGAGGGGACAAATGACTTTTGGTGGTCTTAAACTTAAAACTCTTACGTTCAAATAATAATAATATATATATTTTTATAAAGCAGAATTCAGAAAAAGACAAAATAGAAAAAATGTTGACGTAGTGTGAAACGTTGATTTTCTTGCTTGAAGTAAGAGAAAGAGAATTGTAACGCTCTGGGTGAGCGAGATCAAGGAGAGTGAACTCAACCCTTGACCCTTCATCTCTCTTACGCTCACTGCAAGTAACTGAAACCGGGATTTAATATATGCATGTGAAAGCTGAAATAGCCGTTAGAAAAAAAACAAAACAAAACAAAAAGCATAGAAAAGATCACTTGTGGGTTGAAGAAGGATGAACCTGAGGGATGATGACGGATGAAACGGTTGTGGGTCACTGGGGAGAAAGTTGCGTTTGTGAATCAGGAAACTGGAGGAGTTGTTCTGGGACAGTGTTGATTGAGACCTGCACTAGTGTTATAATAATAAGGTCTAAGAGGAGGAACCAAGTGGTGGGGCAAAGAGAAAAAGAAAAAGAAACTAGAATAAAAAGGAGATAAAATAAAATGAATAAAGAAAGTTTTTGGAGATGGTGAGATGAGGGAGAAGAGAGAAGAACAGGTGTAGAGGATGTGGCAGTGTGGAGTTATTGCAGAGCGTATTGAGCGGGTGTAATAGCATTTATGGAGGGACTATTGGTATAAATGCTGTATAGAGAAAGAAAAATAAAAGAAAAAGGAAAGAGAGAGAGAGAATGTCATATCGTATTTTAAATTTCATCTGTGTGGTATGGTGAAGTGAATCTTTTTTTTTCTTTTTTTTTGGTGAAGTGAATCTTTGCTTATTTACTCATCTGTCTCAACCTTCTATGCTTACACTGCCTGTGCATTGCAAATTAATTGCCTGGGGAGTTTGCTTACAGGGGTGTTTTTGTTTAGAATAAATTATTCTAACTCAAAATGTTTACAAATTATTCTAAGTCAAAATATTATAATCTAAACTCATTAAATTCAATAACAAATAAATTTTTTCTTGTAATTTTATAAACATTTTTTTTTTACATTTGTTTGATATTGTTCCTTCCTAGTACTATTTTGCTTCCCAGATCAAAGTGAAATAAAACGAGAGATATGCATGTATAATGATTGTTTGACATGTCACGGGATATAAGGTTTTGTGTTGTGACTCCTATAATTGTATATTTCGAGTAGTATATATTTATAATATTAAAAAAAAAAATTTCTCTATTCAGAAATTTTTTGTTGGTTGACGTAAAGAGAGAAAAAAATCAATTTTATTGGATTTTAATAAATTATAACTATTAGATTCTCGGGAATCAATATTTAAAATTTGGTGTAAGATTTATATTCTTATACCGGTGTAAGTTGATCTTACCCATATATATCAAAATGATTTGTAATATGGCTACACCAAAGGATTGATGCAGTCACACACTTTAATTATGTCTTACCGGTAAGACATAGTTATAATATTAAAGTTATTTTTTCTCTCTCATACGTCAGTTGACAAGTCTTTGAAAAGTTACTGAGAAGAGAGAAAAAAAAAATATTTTTAATATTATAATCATGTCTTACCAATAAGACATAGTTAAATTTATGAAGAGTGAAAAAAAAAACTTTAATATTATAACTATGTTTTATCGATAAGACATAGTTAAAGTGTGTGACTGCACCAATCCTTAGGTGCAGTTAGTGTTCATTCATCCACTTTATATATATATATATATATATATATATATATATATATATATATATATATATATATATATATATGGGGAGGGATCTTTTGACTCTAGAGTAAGACTTACAACTCTTACTCCTCATCTCAACCGTTGATTTCTGTCAATCTAACGGTTATCTATACCAATTAATTAATTATTAAATTCAAATAAATAATAACAGTTAGATGGACAGAAATCAACGGTTGAGATGAAGAGTAAGAGTTGTAAGTCTTACTCTAGAGTCAAAAGATCTCTCCCCTATATATATATATATATATATATATATATATATATATATATATATATAGGATCCTTTGACATTGGTGTCAAATTTAAAGTTTGACACCTCATCTGAGAGTCGTTAGATATAAAAAGATCAATGGTGTCACATGCTTACAAATTAGAGTCGTTGATCTTTTTTGATCTAACGGCTCTCAGATGAGGTGTCAAACTTTAAATTTGACACTAGTGTCAAAGGATCATGCCTCTATATATATATATATAAAAGGAGGAATCTTTTGACTCTAGAGAAAGAGTTAGAAGTCTTACTTCTCGTCTCAATCGTTAATTTTTGTCCATATAAAGATTATAGTTTATTTAAAACTAATAGTTAATTAATTGATATAACTCAATAAACTATAACCGTTAGATAGATAGAAATCGACGGTTAAAATAGAAAATAAAACAACTAAATCTTACACTAGAGTCAAAATATATATCCTCTATATATATGTGTGTGAAAATAATTACATTCAATTAATTAGTAGATTGTGAAACGCAAACTGCATAGTACAGTGTCCCATATATTCTTTCTGTTGAATTATCTTGTTTTGCCATTTTTTTTCAATTAGGATTGTGCTGGTGGGTGACGACAACCCAGTATTTATTATGTTCTTCAGAAAGTATTTAATAACTTTATAAAAGAAAAGAAACGAAATTAAAAAGCCAAAGGAATTATACCTCAAGAAAAAGGAGAAGGAAAATCTTTTAAACATTAGTAAACACAAGGAGTTTTGGGAGAAAAAAAAAACAAAGTATATTCCAATTTTACACTTGTCTTTTATGGGGGGAAAATAAAAGAGAGATATAAAGAGCATGTTTGTTTTACTTTTTACCATAAAATATAGGCATAGAAAGAAAGCACAAAAACCAAGTTTACACAATACATATGAGTAACTTTTAATTTGAGGAAAAAAAAGTAACAAGCAGCTTAATTATTCTAAAATTATTATACTCACATTTAAATTTGCACGTTTTTCTTAGAGCACTTACTTTAATATAAAAAAGGGGAGGTGAAGAAGCAAATTTCTCTCTCCCCATTTTCAAACAAAGAGTGTAGAAAAACCAGATGTAATAGTAATATTTTAGTTAACTATTATAATTCACATAAATGATAAGCTCGTAAAGATTTTTATGAATTCCCACTGTCCACACAAAATGAAACTTTGTTCTTGAGTATTTACCTTTTCATTTTATGCAAGCAACTTAATCATAGAGGAATCTATGAAGATGTGGAGAAGCTTAGTCGCAATTTTATCTCGGTTGTCCCAAAGTATTAGAAAAGGTGCCACTTGTTAATTGCAAACAGGACGAAGTTTATAGAACTAAGAATGAAAATCTCAAGCGAAGAGTGATGCCTGCCTGATGAAGATTGGATGTGTTCACAAACAAAAAGGTTTCACCGCGGTGTAAGCTTTAGATCCAAGTATCATTTATCATTATGATATACTGATGTTATCCCCAAAATTAAAGAAAGGAAGAGCTCTAATATTTGGCGAGGCGTGTATAGGAATTTATCTTGCATTAAATGATTTTTTTTCCTACATAAATCTTAACGTAATTATATATATCATATCAAGAAAACAGAAATAAATTTTAATGTATTAGAATCATGGAGATTTCTAACAAAGTTATCTTTTATTAAAATTGTTTATGGTGATTTCTTTGTTATTTTCAACAGAAATGTTTAGGCCATCCCATTTTAAATTTAGAACAAGTTACAAGTCTCAATGAGGACATATGCTTATAGAATGCCTTACAAGAAGAGGAGAAATAAGGAATCAAATTTAATTTTCTATGTTCCTTTCTATCTTTTATTGTTTTTCAACAAAATAAAAAATAAAAACTCTCACATATTGCTTAATTAATGTAACTTCATTGATAATTTTTTTTTGAAGTTGTTATATTTGTCACTAAGGAACAAAATAACAGAAAG